TTCTAACCGAACTCGAAGAGTTTCAGGAGCGTGATAGCGGGTGGGCGCTGTCGCGTATACACAACGTAACTATTAACGTGAACAAGTGCAATCCTATGCACGCGGGATGCCATATAGACATGCCAGAAGTAGTGAAACGGAAGAAAGCAGTGATCAATGTACGATCAAAGGACAATGCGTGTTTCGCGTGGTCGGTGGTCGCTGCTTTGCATCCAGCTGAAAGGCATGTGGATCGGAAATCGTCGTATCCGCATTACAGCGATGTGTTAAACCTGCGAGACGTTCCAATGCCAATGACATTTAGTGGTATTAAAAAGTTTAAACGGTTGAACAGTATTTCCATCAATGTATACAGCATCGATGAAAAGAACAATTGTGAACACGCAATCGTACCGCTACGAGTTGCTGACGAGAAGAAGGAGAAGCACGTGAACCTATTATACATATATGCAAGATCAGGGGGGTGCTGAAGTGGGCCACTTCGTCTGGATAAAAAAACTTATCCCGCCTCGTCAGTTCACAATTGAGTGGTAACCATGGAAAAAAATACATTTGCGATCGGTGAGTATCAATAAAATTTATGAAAAATTGTTTTATTTTATGAAATATAAATAAATGTTTTTCAAATATTTTTTCCAGATGCATGCATTATTTCCATTCAAATGGAAAGTTGGAAGCCCACAGCGTGGACTGTCAGCAGATAAATGACTGCACGATCGTATTACCCAGCGAGGAGGACAAGTGGCTCAGCTTCGACAACCACAGCAGGAAGGAACGCGTGCCGTTTGTAGTGTACGCAGACCTTGAGTGCATCTTGAAAAAGGCTGATACCGATACCGATATCAAAGCATATCAGCATCATGAGGTATTCAGCGTTGGATATTACGTGCATTGCTCGTACAACGACTCGCTGTCAACGTACCGTTTCCGCCGCGACATTGATTGCATCGCGTGGTTCGCCAACCAACTAGAAGAATTGGCATATCGTGTAAAGAATATTCTGTCGAGTAATGTTCCCATGCAAACACTTTCGAAAGAACAGTATGAGAAATTTAAAAGCACCACGCACTGTCACATATGTGAGAAACCGTTCACACAGGGTGACGATAGAGTACGCGACCATTGCCATCTAACCGGGCGATATAGAGACCCCGCGCATTCTAATTGTAACTTAAATTACAAATATGCGTATTTCATTCCAATCGTTTTTCATAATTTATCCGGCTATGACGCACATTTCATAATTAAAGAAATCGCTACAGTGTTCGAGGGCACAGTTGATGTATTACCGATAACGAAGGAAACGTACATTTCCTTTACAAAAAATGTAAAAAATACCATAGAAAACTCAAAGCGACAAAATTGTATAAAGCTGCGATTTATTGACTCATACAAATTTCTGAGTACTAGCCTCGATAGATTGGTATCGTTTCTTCACAGAGACCAATTAAAAATTGTACGATCTAAATTTTCACAATTATCCAGCGACGATTTTGATCTATTGACGCGTAAAGGTGTGTTTCCCTATGAATATGTGGATTGCGCGGACAAGCTGCAGGACCCGCGTCTACCTCCGTGCGAGTTATTTTTCAGTTCTCTAATCGGTGACACCGTATCAGAGAGCGATTACATGCATGCTTTGAATGTTTGGAAACGATTCTCCATCCAAACCCTAGGCGACTACAGCGATTTATATTTGAAAACCGATGTCTTGTTATTGGCCGACATTTTTGAAAATTTTCGCAATAGTAGCATCAACAGTTATGGATTAGATCCCGCGTATTATTATACATTACCAGGATTCACGTGGGACGCCATGCTTAAACATACGCGTATAAATTTCGAACTCCTCACGGACATTGACATGGTCATGTTTATCGAGTGCGGCATACGCGGTGGTCTCAGCCAATGTTCCGGTAGATATGCTCGAGCCAATAACAAGTGCATGCAGTCTTACGATCCGTCGAAAGCTTCCTCATACTTGATGTACTTTGATGTCAATAATTTGTATGGTTGGGCGATGTGTCAACCACTACCATATGCAAATTTTCGATGGGTCACTAACGTTACTGATTTTAATGTAAATGCGATCGCTGTGGACTCATCGACAGGTTACATTCTCGAGGTCGATCTCGAGTACCCACACAGTATACACGACGAGCACGCCGACCTACCGTTCTGTCCGACGCGCGATAAGCCGCCAGGCAGGCGACAGGAAAAGCTACTTGCGACTGTGGGTGTATTCCGAATCGAGTTAGTTCGGCTTATTTTTGTTTCCAGATGTTGGCAGCCACTTAACTAAACCGAAACCGAGAAGTGTTCCGAAGCCGACATAACCTGTAAACATCGGCAGCTTGCAGCAGACAAGCAATATTATTTTATAACCCAAATAACTACCAGTATAAAAAAAGAGAAAAATTAAATGGCGATGCTCAACGTAGCTTTTACTAGTTCCAGTTCAAGTGAGAGTGATGATGAAGATGTGGAACTTTTTCTTGACGAGAAAAATAAATATCAAAAAAAACCAAGAGTACAAAATTTTATTGAAACTGTGATCTACGCCTATAACACCAAAGAATTTAAACAACATTTTCGGTAAGTTGACATGCAAAATAAATTACTCGATTTTATTTCTATGTTAGATATGATTTTCAGGATGAGTCGCACAACTTTTTATTTCTTATTGAATATCTTGAGGCCATATTTACAAACTGAGGAAAGTGGTCCTGTTATTTCTCCTGAAAAGCAGTTATATATTGCTTTATATGTGTTAGAAACACCTGATTCATATAGGTAAATATTTATGTTTATAATTACTATACTTCTATGAACTTGTTCTGCTTCAAGCAAATGTTCATTCATAATTTTCTTTGATATACACTGTTGTAACCAAGTTTGATGTGGGGAATGCCACTGCTTGGCGAGCTGTGAAAAGAGTAGTGAAAGCTATATGTATCTTTCGGAACTATTTTATTCGTTGGCCAACATTTGAGGAAGCAGAAATTACTAGCAGAAATATACAGAAAAAAAAATTTCCAGGCGTAATTGGAGCTGTTGATGGGACACACATTACAATTGCAGCTCCAAAAGAAAATGCACTTGCTTACATAAATCGAAAAGGACATCACTTTATACAGCTGCAGGTATGAAGCATTATAAAACACTATTTTAATTAATTTTAGAGAAAAACGTAAAGCACCCAGTAAACACCGAGTATCAGTTACATTATTATCTATCTATTATTATGTATCTATGTTATATAGTTGTAACATATTATCTATGTAATATAGATGTTGTTCGAGACAACGCATTCACGAGAGCAGGAGGGAGAATCGCCTCATGCCTACTTGTATGTACATGTGCTTTCGCTGTAACACGATTCTCGCTATTGGCCTGGGGTCAACGCTCCTTGTCGGCAATCTCTTCGACAAACCCTTTGATTCGAACAAGGGCGCGCTCTCGAACAGATGTAAAGCCCGCTGCAGACGATGCTATTTTTCCTGCTGGATTGCTTGCAATCTAATAAATTACTATCATTGCACCACTCAGCACTCAGGATTTCTAGTAATTTACTAAATCGCAAGCAATCCAGCAGGAAAAATAGCATCGTCTGCAACGGGCTTAATGTAACTGATGCTCGGTGTTTACTGAGAATTAATAAATCTTATTTACAGGTACTTTGCAATGAAAAAAGGGAATTTATTCACTGCTATGCTGGAATGCCAGGATCGGTGCATGACAACACTCTCATGAGTGTTTAAATATTCTGGACTACAACAAAAATGTTACAATTATTCTGATAATGATAAACACCTACTAGGCAATTCAGCTTACACTCTGCAAAAATTCGTGATGGTGCCATACAAGGACAATGGACATTTAACAGCTGAAGAAATAAAGTATAATTATGCTCTATCTAGCAGCAGAATGGTTGTGGAACGGTCTATAGGTCTTTTAAAAGGACGATGGAGATATTTACTGGACAAATTGCCAATGCGAAGGACAGACCTTATCCCATACTATATCATTGCTTGTTGTGTCCTCCATAATATCTGTCTCATGAAAAGAGATGAGATTGAATATCCAGTTATCCTCCCAGACGACGTGGAAGATCCTGGGCCTTCCGAAGTTACTCCAGAACAACAGCAAGGAGGAGTCATCAAAAGAGAGCAAATAAAAAATCATCTTGCTATTTTAAGAAATAACTAGATAAAAACAATGTTTGGCTTTTATATATGAAGTTTCTCCATTTTGTACTGTAATTTTATGTATAAATACCAGATTGACCAACGAAAGCAATCCATTCCGTTTATTTTATAAATAACCAATAAGAAAAAATACTGAGACAGGTGAAATTTTTTTTTCAGAATTTCGTTTGTTATTTAATATTAATATATTGTAATAAGTATTTAAGTGATTTTTCTTAAATAAAGATTTATATTAGCAAGGTAAAATAAAAACTACAAACTTTTGTTTTCAATAAAAACAAAACTATATTTATAATATAATATTTTACCCTTGTTTTTATACGGAACACTAAGTAATCTTTTTAAAAAATAAATATACATTTTATATACTGCGACGATTTTTCTCTTCTTAATTTCTTCTCCGCCCTCCAGTTACACGCGGACGGACGGGTATTGCCGTCCCGCTCTCGCTGTCGCGCGCGGGTCTTAGACGAAGGGGCGCGCCGACGACGGGGAGTGTGGTCGCCGGGCGCGAGAAGCGCGTGATACGGACGGATCGGGTCGTCGGCAAAAACCAAGGGAAATAAGGATAACGCGCCGGAAAGGAGCGGGATCTCGGTAGCTCCGCGCGTACCGTGCCGCGAGCCGAGAACTCCACGCGAAAAATGAAGATTGGGCGCCAGACGCGGTCTTTCACGCGTCACGTCGCGAAATCCGCAAAATCGCACGAACGGGATGGAGCGGCCCTCGTCACGGGCAGGCTAGCTCGCCTAACGGCAGAGGGGCGGGGCGGTGGTTGCCACTAAAGATTCCAGAGGCCACGGGACTCAAGAAATTCACGCGACGGACGATACACACGGAGAGAGACGTACACGAAAAGAAACGCAGAAAAATAATGTAAATAAAATTGGGTTTAATATAAGGCGGCGTTAACACGCCGGTTGAGTGGCCGCTATAACGGGCGGCGTCGCTGGCGACAATATATAATACAGGCCCCGAGATCGGGGGAACAGCTCGCCGCGATACTCTCTGCGACACGGAACCATCCGGCGCGAACTCAACGGCAGAAATGATCCATACGCGATAAACCCTACTCGGACGACACGGACGCACTTGACAGGAATTTTCTCGCGAACGGTACGAATACCGTCGCACACGCAACACTCGGCCGGGGCGCTTTGCCCGCGAGACTGGGTACTCGGGCCGACGGATCGGCCCGTCTTACAACGACGTGCAAAACGTAACTTCCGCCGGGCAGTCCCCGACGGCTAACTACGGCGAGCCTTTCGCTCGCTCCCGGCCGCGCCGGCCGCGCGGGTCGGCAGGGGATCCCGCTCCGGACGCGCCGTCCTCGCGAAACCCGTCACCGACAACGGCGGAAGCGGCACGGGGTATCGCAAACACTCTCTCAGCCGCTCGCACTTCCTCGGTCGTCGCGACTCTACGGCGACGTTCCTTCACGCCTCGCATGCACGCGACACTCCCGCGGCATGCGTCCCCCGCGCGGTCTCGCGCAACGCAACCCTCGCGTCGCGAATCTCCAGAGCGGCGGACACGAACTCCCGCGACCGCGACCCTCGGCTCGAACACTCACACCCTCCCACGAGGCCTGTGCCCTGCAGGCTCCGGGGTAACCGCGGTTGCTTGTCGCCGCGACCGGGACACCAAAAAAAACTCTAACGCCGACGGGCCATAGCCCGGGCGACACCAAACGCGAAATTTTCCCGGCGGCGACAGAACAACCAGGGCCCGGACGCGATCGCACGGGGCGAAACGGACGGAGGAGGATCTCACCGGCACCTCGGCTCTCCCGGGATCGGCAGGCGGCAACGGCTCGTCCTGGGCTCACGCGGGAACTCGCACTTCGTGGCGGGAAAACGGCGGTAGCGGCAGACCGGGGTCCTCACTCTTACAGATCCGGCAACAGGCTGGCTCCCAATTTTCCGCGATCGCGGATCGATAGCTCGGCCCCCCCCCCCCCCCGCGCGGCTGCTCGCACGAGGCGCGTGCCCCGCGGCCAATCGCGCGACGGGACGCGACAACGTCGGCAGCGATATTCTCACGATCGGGCGCAGGTGCCCGCGGTATCGCCAAAATTTCCTCGCGTTCCCTCGATAGGGCTGTCGCAGCGGCTCCCCCGCTGACGCCCCTCAGGTATCGTGCCACGGGCACTGGGCTCCTTCCTCCCGGCTCGCTGCTCCGCGCGCTCCGTTCCCGCTCCGCACGCCTCTCCACCGTGCTCGCCGCGGAATTTGTCCGTTAGCCGGGCCTCTCGTCTTTCCTCCGCCCTCGCGTCCATCCGTCCTCACACGCTCGTGTTCATCATACAAAAAAAAACAAAATAATCAGCCATACGTCGGAATTTCCGAGTAACGGTCGCCTCTCTGGAGACTGCGGCACGGTTTTCCCTAATCGCGGCCTGTTGCCCTGAGGGAGGAACCCGGTGGACGTGCACGCGGGACGGCAACGTCACAATACCTATGTTAGTATAATCACAGTTTTACTTATTTATTACTTTTAATCACTGTTCTTTGGTGTTTATACGTCTTACGTAAAAATTTAATAACATTTTTAAAGTATATGTTACAGAAAAACAAAATCTATTTCTTAATCAAATCAAATCAAATTTCTTAATCTTATTCCATCTTTTATCTTTATGTCACAGTTTATTTAATGAAATGACAACTTATTTTGAATCTCTCTTAGGATTTCAAGTTTTTTTTCTTTATATTCTTTGTCGTTCTCTAACTTTTGTTTTTTTAACTGCAGAAATTCCTTCATATAATCATTCTTATCGTATGTAGTATCACGTTTTTGCCTCCTGAAAACAGTTTTATGTTTACTTTGCCTTTGTGTTATCCACCTTTTCTAAGTAGAAAAAATATTATATTAGTAACCTGAAGTTGATGGTTTCTGATCCATGTGTTCCCCAAGAGGTGTGCTGGATCCAACAGTAGATAAAGGTTTTATCCACGTGTGGTGATTTAGAGAATATTTTTTGTAAAATCTGGAAAAAGACATATACACAAAAAATCGGTAATAACAATTATCACATATCTATCGTTCTTACATCGTAATGCTCAATTTTTTTCGGTGCGTTTCCACTTTGGCAATTATGATCGTAACATTTCTTATAAGATTTTTTTAAATTGTCCATTTTTGTACTACATTGGGATGCAGTAATTGCATAGCCTTTCTTCCTCATTTTTGTTGATACGTCCTTCCAAAAGCAGCTATGTGTCACTTTTTCCTTATTTAATGGTCCACTCATCTCAAGATATAAAGATAGCAGCAATTTTGTCTGCTCAGTGGTCCAGCGATACCTGACAGTACCTAAAAGAATTTTTTTTACTAATCCATAAAACTTATAACCAAGATTTTGGTATTCAGAACGTGCTTACAACGATGTTAGCGTGCTATTACGCGCATTTAGTATACATATAGTTTACGTTACATATACTATCGAATTTCAGAAATAACAGCGCGCTAACATTGTTGTAAGCGCGTTTTGAATACGGACTTTTACCTGTAGTGCACAATGCTGCGGCTTCGTTTTCTTCATTTTCAAGCTCAGAAGAATCAAGTAGGTCTTCAGTAGGAGTAGCTTCAACTTTCTCTGCAGAAACGTTTGTATCTATGTAGTTAGGTATTTGCTTAACTATTTCTTCATCACATTCCTCGAACAGCTGTGTAGCATACTGTAAATCTGTAGAAATAAAAATTTATAATAAAAATATTAAAAAATATGCAAAAAAGAACTTTCTTATTGTGAGTTTATTCACCAACGCAAGCACGTTTATAAATATGATTTGGAACATTAAGTCTTTTAGTTTTGGACCCATCTGATAATTCTACAAGTTTTTGTTCATAAGACGTTTCAGTTATTGCAGGCTTGTCTTTAAATAACTCTGGATATTTTTGCTTTTGGAGAATCAAGAATTTTTCAGCATATGACGGATCTGCAAATTTTAATTATTTATAAGAAATACAAAGTTTTAATTTAATGATAAGAAACAATTTTATCTATCCAATAACATTATTACAACACTTACCATTATGAGCTAAATCATAAATATCTTTCGTTACAAGAAAAGTGTAACTTATGTTATTGCGATCCTTTATTTCTAAACGCAACATTTCTTATAATGATACGATAATCCACCCTTTGAACGGAAATGGATTCACTCGCGATAGTAGAGCCACGAAAATATACGAGAAGTATATTTGCAGGTTATGTCGGCTTCGGAACACTTCTCGGTTTCGGTTTAATTAAGTGGCTGCCAACATCTGGAAACAAAAATAAGCCGAACTAACTCGATTCGGAATACACCCTGTGTATGATAAGAAGCGTTACGTCATACACTACCGCAACCTGCAACGGTGCACGCGTCATGGGCTTCGCGTGACAAAAATATATCGCATATTGGAGTTCTCGCAATCTCCATGGCTACGCAAATATATTGAACTCAACACACAATTTAGAACGTTAGCCAAAAACGATTTCGAAAAAAATTTATACAAATTAATGAACGCGGTATTCGGTAAAACAATGGAAAACGTGCGGAATCATGTCGACGTTAAACTTATAACAAAGTGGGATGGTCGCCATGGTGCGGAGGCGATGATCTCGAAACCGAATTTTCATAGTCGCAGCATTTTTCAGAAAATTTAATCGCCGTGGAGTTGCGAAAACTCGAAGTGAAATTCAACAAGCCGATCTACGTGGGTATGTGCATCCTCGACATATCCAAGATCTGCTTGTATGAATTTCATCACGATTATATGTTACCGATGTATCGCGAGCATTGTAAAATTATGTATACCGACACGGATAGTCTCGTATACCACGTCAGGATGTATACGCGAGGATGTATACGAGACGATGAAACGCGATATTCGTAGATTCGACACGAGCGATTATCCGGTTGACAACGCGTACGATATACAGCTTGTAAATAAGAAAGTGCCCGGTCTAATGAAAGACGAGAATAATGGTGCGATAATGACGGAATTCGTGCGACT